TAAGAATAAATAAATAAATAATAATAATAATAATGTAAAAGCCTAAATATAAGTATAAAAAATTGTACTCAACTGGCAGGAATATGTTTTCCAAACGGAATACTCGCTATTCGTACAGGCTACGTCACTGGCCTTTGTGTTCATTTATTGAAAAGACAAAAGAGTTCTTTTTTGAATTCATCAAATATTCAGCAAACAGAACAACGTTTTAAAAAATGGTGAGCTGTTTAATGAAATGTGCGTTTCACATACACGTCATGTAACCGCCTTGGTACCACACGAATTTATGAAGACAGATTTAACCTGCATCTCAAGAACTGCATCATCTGCATCCGACAAATCTTACTGCAGATGACCAATACTACATTTAAATTAAGTATGTTCAGATTGGTTCGTACTTGACACATGAGGACGCGCGGCTACTACCACTTAATTAGGCCCTAGGAGTTCATTCTGTGAACTTAATGCAAAGAACTTATAGTCAATACAAAAATCACAAATTTATCATTTCACCTGCACGAATTTAGCCTATGGACTTCACTATCTCGACTTGCTGTACTTCTAGTATACTTCAAGTTTCTCATAAAAATTATATTCCGGGCGCCTTCGTTTTCATATACAAATAAGGCAGATATTTGAAATGTTTAAGGGTCTCTGTAATGATACTTTGTCGACATATGTTGAGTGTGTTATTTGTTAACAAGAAGTCCTGGGAAGAACTAATCGCCTAATTCCCTTTGTTGAGGCACGAACCGCAGAGAAAACGAAAAAAATTTAGGACACAAACAGCGAGGCGATCTCATAAGCCTCATAACAAAATTAGGAGAGGGGAATACACAAGCAGACAGACTACTATATTGTAGTATTCTGTTGCATTAGATTTTTTTTATGCATTTATTAAAAGTTTATCACTCTTAAAGTTGATAACTTTTAATACATTTTATAGAACATGGTGTTGCACGTGAGACTTTAAAAAGACTTATCGACACTAAGACAGACAGACAGGAAGGTGAGCTCATAAATCTCAGTTTTTTCAAAATAAGGAAAGTAGGCTAAATAGTACACCAAACTGAATTCGTTATTCACGAGTGTCAACTTAATATACTCGTACAATTAGCAGGAAGAGAGATGCACTTAATTTTAGTGGTGACTTTCCTCTGAAATGTCGCCATATCTCAAGTTACAGAACCTCGTTCTGATGGGGGGGGGGGAGGAGAAAATGTGGCTACAATCGGCGATTGGCGCTGATGTGAGAGAAGTGGCAATGTTCGTATTTTACGAGAGTTCTTGCCCTCAATTCAGAGATCCCATTAATTTTCAATGCGAAATCTTTCTCTATAAGTAAATCGCAGAGACAAAAGAGACGAATCAACATGCTACGTAACAAGATCGAGAGAATGTTTTGTTTTTCCTGCATGCAGCTTCAAGGCGGCATTTGTTGGCCAAGAGTACATTGCGAAAGAAGTACACAAGACCCAACGCACTTACAGGCACAACGAACACATTAAAAGTGTATTACTGGAATAAGCAACAACCGCAGGCATATCTGATAATGACTGTTCTTTCGTGAAATCTAAAATTATATGTGATGATTCACTGCGCTGCGCACAGCGGCCGCGGGGTCTTATGTGCGTACTTTCACAGCTGGAGAACAGAATTGTGAGTTCGAAGACATGGGTGTCTGTCTGTGTTGTCCATGTTATGGGTCGATCCCCAGTTCTAGGAGCCCTACTAAATGTTCATTCATTCATTATTAGAGGGGGTGGGTTTCCCCATGCACTTAGAACAGTTATTGGTCCATTGTGCGTCCCCCTTTAATTTCTACTGTCGCCATACCCTTCCAGTACTGGTGCTCGCTATAAGCCCCATTCTGCCAGCAAGGTCGGCCCTCTTCTAGCAGTGGTACCCGATAGTTCCCCATCTACCGGAGGCATTGGAAACAACTTGGGCGGGAAACTTTGCCTAATTTTGCTCAGAGGTCTCCTAGAGATATGAGGATCTTTCACGTGCCGTAAATCTACGACACGGGACCAACGGCTTAAAGTCCCTCCCGGAGGACTTGTTCCCTGAATTTTTCCGCCCTTAAAAATTCCATGACGTCCGCAGGGTTTGAACCCGCGTATCTTGAGGCATGAGGTGGGAACGTTACCCCTAGACTACGGAGGCCGCTCTTAAATGTCAAATAAAATATAATAGTTTGGGGGGTTAATTTGGAAGTGCAAGAGGCCAGACGGTCTAATCCACAACGGGAGAAAGAAAGTGTAAAGTGGCTGATATCGATATTATAGGATTTTCTCTTCCTAGAAATGGCCTATTCAGTTTAAAGTTTCGTAAAACAACTTATAGTCTATTTTCCGTCAATCAATTGATTCACCTTTAATCCATACAACGATCGTAAAATGTATAAATTGTTATTAAAATCATTAATATATATATATATATATGCATTATCACAATGCTACATGTTTCGGCCATATAATGCCATCTTCAGGCAAAACGTTTATAAGAGTCTAATGCACTGCGCACTAAACAAATAGCTTTCTTTCAGTTTCGCCGGTGACGTTCTCTTCTTCCTATCTTTTATGTATTTCGTTGGTGCGTAGTTTTCTGGACTGTGCGTATCAAGCGTCACTTTCAAAATGTCTGCACTTTCAAAACTGCCACTTTTGAAATAGGCATATCACAATTTTGAACTTTTACTCTATGCACATTATTTTTTTATTGCTAGTGGGGTGGGACTAAGTCCCTTGTAATGCGGCCACTTCTGGCCTATTGTACCAGCCCCAGATGATAGGTGAGGGTGATTGTGGAGCAATTGATGAAGATTGGAAGGGGAAACCGAAATACTTGGAGAAAACCTCCCCCAGCGCCACTTTCTCCACCACAAATCCCACTTGAGCAGACTCCGGGATCGAAACCGGGACGCCGAGGTGGTAAGCCAGCGACTAACCACTTGAACTATGGTGCGGCCTTATGCACATTATACTATCAAAAGTATTCAGTTAAAGTATCGCTATGTTAAACACTGTTTTGTGGTCACCATACTCTATCTCGAAAGTGCAGATCGCATTCTCATAAGTACCACTTCCGTGGTATTGCCTTTTAGTCTACTTCCCTTATTTTGATAAAATAAAAGTAGGCTCATAAGCTCACAATGCTGTGTGCTTGCGTATCTGTGAAGCACTTCCAGCCCACCAGCTTCCGAATGCCAAAACCAATCTTTACGAAAATTAGTATGCATAACATGGCTCCTCAGTCCATCTGAACGGCATACTCCATAAATCCCTTCCATCAATCTGTGTCTATATGTGTATCCCCATATCGTTGCTACGCAACGGCTCGGTAAAAGCGTTACCGCTGCAACGAATACTCGCGCAACAGTAGAAGAATTCTTGGATGCGTCGTTTTCTGTGGAGTCCGTGTCGTATCAAAGGAACGTTGACGATTTGTTGTTCCCAGAATTTCTTCTTATGCATACACAATATTGGTTGAAAAATCTAAAAATGCCAGGCCTAGAAATATACATTTTTCTGAGCGTCAAGAATACCGGGTCTTACAGTAGACACAATCTGACGTTATACTGTAAGTGACTTGTGCTGGCAATCTCGTTCATCATCATGTAACACCGCAAGTGAATGTAATCACGCCCAATGGGCGTGCCCATCTCAGAAAGGGAGTTCTTCACTATCGCCAAGAGGGCACAAAGGTCAAAAGACCACAGCGTTACACATCAGTGACAATGTGAGGAGCTATATAAAGGGACTGCAAACATATTGCTCGGGAAATCAACTTCAGTCCACAAGCATCAAAATAACTGAAGATGTCTATCTTCAGGACTACAACGGCGTGTACATCGTTGAAAATCAACTTAAGTTTCGAAGAAACGAGTCGCCTCCGTCTTAATGGTAGAAGAATGAGCCAAGCAAGAAACCACATAAACAGCCCTGCTTGCTATTTGCTTCATGCTGATTTATTTCTTGTATTATATTTCCACCTGAAGACGGAGAACATGTTCCTACGAAACGTCGGCTGATTTCCAACGGATCATATAGCGTTGTATCCAAGAACAGAAATCTTCATCAAAATAACTGCCCGAAGAACATTATTATTTAATTAATCTTCAATGAATAATTATCTTATGAAGCGCCCAACATACATTTACGGTAAATCCTACATTCACCAACGACGGAAGAATTTTCCAAACTTGCCAACTGACGTCATCGCGCGTATTATCAATATACCTCGACATCCATAACAGAGCTATTTCCTAGTGACGGTTGTTCTAGATTCTTACTCGTATGACAGTAGTTAAGAAAAAAAGAGGATCTATTATTGAACTGTAAAGAAAAGACTTAAATGTGGCATCGTTGACATTGTCATTACACTCACTCATGGAGCTGAGCCCTTCTTGAGAAGCTGCCAATTGTACAGCTACTCAAGAACTTCCCAGTATTTTATGGAACCCGAAGGTTCATTACCGTGTTCACAAAAGTCTTTCATTGGTCCCTATCCTAAGCCAGATCAATCCAATCCATATCACCTCATCCTTTCTCTCTAAGATCCATTTTAATATTGTTCACCCACCTACTTCTTAGTCTTCCTAGTTGTCTCTTTCGTTCTGGCTTTCCCACCAGTATCATATATGCATTCACCTCCTCCCCCAATCCTGCTACATGCTCCGCCCATTTCATCCTCCTTGACTTGATCATTCTAATTTTACTTGGGAGACGAGTACAAGTTATGAAGTTCTCAATATGCAGCTCTCTCCAATACAAGAATAAATTAATCAATTTCCAATTTATATCTCTATATACTGTATATATTACTACAGGAACGAGCCAGTCAAAGGCAACAGGCAATATCTGTTATTGAACACAATCAACAAAACAGTAATTTAAATACATATAACTGAATAAAACAGTTTACTAATTAAATACCAGTTTAGTGAGATGCCTGGGGCTGGCTTTAATCTCAATGAATGGCATAAAAAGTGCGCGTACCTCGTGGGAAGACTTCATGTAACCTCGGTTGAAGACCACCGAAGAAGACAGCATTACTCCATATATATGCTGAGCAGACAACAGCTGAAAGATTACAATTCTGCTCAGAAAAGGGACTTCGTAAAGATGAACTTTATTAAAATCTGGCCTTATCCATAAAAAGTGTTAATTACTAGTATAAGACAGGTAATGTCACTATATGCTTACAATAAAACCGATCTCCAAATTACAGATATATGTACATCATTCCTTCTAATGTGTATTGCATTCATGCAAAAAAAAATTTTTAATTCCCTTAGTGGGGGGGTGGAGTCCAACTGGGTCCACTCGGCAAGGCGGCTACTGATTGGCCTATTGTAGCCTGCCCCGGGTGCTTATAATGATGCAGAATTTGGTGGAATGAAGATTGGCAAGGGAAACCGAAGTACTCGGAGAAAACCAGCCCCAGCGCCACTTTGTATACCACAAATCCTACTTGACGAGACCCGGGATCGAACCCGGGCCGCCGCGGTGGGAAGCCAGCGACTAACCACTTGAGCTATGGCGCGGTCTTCATGCAAAATTAGATGATACCTTGGTCCTTGCTTAATATTGGAGCCACACACTTTGTACAAATTCACTGTCAACAATAATGAAATTAATAAAAGTATTTAGTTTCAATTCACACTTCGTGATGGAGTGTTTACGTGGGTCAGTGCAAATATTTGTTATAACACACATATGGAATGAACTGTTTTATCGTTTCATAAATTATACTGTCGTTGTTCACACTTCTAACGACCCCAACTTCGTCTATTAATTTCGTACGAGTAAGTCGGGAGTTCTCAGCCAGCAGTTCACCCACGTTTTCTGCTACCCAGACTTCATATTTTGTACTTCTGCATCAAATTACGCCGATTATAGTGGCCGCACGGTCTAAGGCTTGAACTGTCCTCGACCGCTCAAGCACTAGGATCGTGGGTTCGAATCCCATCTGAGGCATTGTCGTTTGTGTGCGTTTATTCTGTGTTTGTGCTGTCCTGTGTGCAGGTATCGGCCTTGCGACAGGCTGATCCCCCTTCCAAGGACTCCTACCGACTGTGTAAAAGATCAAGAAATTGAAAAAGCGGCCAAGGTCCAACAAAGGCCTGCAGAGCCACATAGAGATAGATAGACAGATAGGTAGGTAGGTAGGTAGATAGCATCGAGCCAACAGAGGTGAAACATGTATTGCGTAATATGTGAAGCTATTTGCGAAATATCAGAACTTAAGCCGCATTTTAAAGAACGACGAGGTTTCAATGAACTATCGTCACGTATAACTCGACGGTCCGGAAGTCGATAAGAAAGGGCGAATGGGGCTCCAGGTTGAGAACTTCTGATGAAAACTGTGGCACGCGTGGCATGTTGCATATGTAGGATGTATGAGGAATGTATACAAAATTTAGTTCGAAAATCTGAAGGCAAGACATCACTCGGGACACCAAGAGGTATATGGGAGATAATATTAAAACTGGGACTAGTGGGGTGGGCTCCTGTAAACACAATAATGAACCACCGAGTTCGACGGAAGACACGGAATTTCTACATCATCTGAGCTACAAATGGATCCGCTAAAATAGCTTCGTTCCGTAAGTTAGTTCGAGCTGGGAACATGTCGAAGAGAAGGCAGGTCTAACAAGGGTGAAGCGCGCCTCTCCTGTACCAGCATTTAAATATACGCACAGCAGTTTGTTAGTGCAGGAGTTCAGGCTCCAAACAGGTACTTTAAATAATAAAAGAAATTTAGTGTCTAATGCAAGGCAGGTTAGGCCGTGCCGTAGATCAGGCGGTTAGTCGCCGGCTTCGAGCCCCGATCAGGTCATGTGGAAACTGGCGGGCAAAGTGGCACTGGGGAAAGTTTTCTCCTCGTACTGCGATTTCCCCTGCCAATTTTCATTCCACCGACTACTCCACATTCATCGTCACCTACCATCCAGGGCTGTTACAATAGGCCAATTAGTGGCCGAAGTACCAAGTGATGTCTGTCTCACCCAACCCCAAGAAACTCATAAAAAGAAAGCAGGGCAGCTCAACCATTACAACGTTTGGACGACAGGAACTGTGGCTCAGTTTCTGGCAGGGATAACGCATTTGTATTCTTCCCTTCCTGCAGCGTCCAGACCCGTCTCTGGAACCCACAAAACCTCTTCCTGGATAGGGATGGTTACTGGGGGCTACTTCCTCCATGTATACAGGCAGGGGCATGAAGCTGACCGCTTACCTCCACCTAGTGCCGAAATTAGGAATACGTGGAGCTTCGCTCCCGTCCGTCCTCGGTACACAGAGGCAAACTTTACACTTACAAGCGCCTACAAGAGATGAAGTGTCACATGCCTCATCAAGTGCAGGTCACTGAAAAGGGCAGCCATTTGCAAGCTCGGGGAAAATAAATGTTTACATCGTATCACATAGTTCAAGAGCATCATTTTGTTTCTCCATATTTCAAGTGGTGTTGACATGAGATGGTGTGAGGCATTAGAAGCGCACATGATATGCCGAGAGACGAGATGAAACAACCTGGAAGGCACGGGTCAGGAGGTCGTGTAAGTTATTTTTAGAACCAAGGAACGTCGGGAGAGGAAGGGTTGGAGTGAGGGAGAGCGGGAGAACGGCCTGGCCTGGATAGACTGAGGCGGGGGAAGCTTGTTGGAAACGTAGAGCAGGCCACGAGAGAAGCGACTGGATGGGAATGGCACGGCTGCAAATGTTGGAGGGGGGTTTCGGATGGAAGACGAACACTGAGCTAAAGCACAGAGCCTAAAGGTAGGGTACATGCAAATAGCAGGTGTCAACATTTCCTACAGTAAATATTCGTTATAACGAACTGGGGGGCGTTATTGCCCATGTCCGCTATAACCGAGTGAAGGGATTCTCACGGAAATACACGTAGGAAACATACCCAGTACACGCAATAAACACAGAAACACACAATATGATTGCACAAATGTTATCTTATCCGGTCTTTTTTATTATATTGTATACAATTTTCTAACTATAAAATGTTAGTGCAACATCTCTAAAAATTCACATTTCCTCACAGGCAGACTTTGTCCACTATGTACTCTGGAATCCAGGAATGGCCGAACCGGAATATACAGATTTTGAGTGTTCACAATATACGAAACTTCATTATTCCTTGCGAAAATCCAATAATAAAAACAAATTTGAAGTAAATAAATAGGCCTACATTCGTTAATTCTATCCTCGGGGTTACGCACAATGTGACGTGCACTTACGCACTTCTCTTTTCTTTTATACGAGATCTCGAATGTTCACTAAAAAGCAAAAAAAAAAATCCCTCTAACAGAATGTGGAGGGCCATATGGTTCTGAGACGTCGAGGCTCCCACATTGCCTAGACAATCGACTAACAGATGGCGGTATGTCGGCCTTACGCGCTAGCAGCCATTTCCCCTCGAACATTCATGATACTCATTTCTGTTACAGGCTGAGTCGACCCCAGGGTCATAATGCGACTCGAAGGTCTACGCAAATTGAAGAAAGTTCAATGACTTCATCGGGATTCAAACCAGGGACCTTCCGGCTTGTAGCATAGTGCCTGAGCCAACTCGTGGCGACAATGTATACTAACACAACTGCTCGCGGTAACCTGTACCCTCCATATTCAGGGTGGAAGCGCAAGGCATCATCAGTAATTCGAGCATCCAAAGAACCCTACCCCTCCCATCGATGACATTAAACACGGCAGAGGAGGACGAAGGATTAACGAACAGCCGTATGCAACGTACTTGCATTTGAGGGCACAAGAATCCATTCCTCAGGCATGAACTACAAGTAATTCTGACTGGGAACTTTCAGCTGACATGTGGCCAATTAAACGACACTGATTTCAGACCATTCCACTATTCATTGCAGTAACCAGAATTAATTTTTTTCATTGTAGTGATAGCATAGTCGGTATAGTGACCAGCTATGGGCTGGATGACCGAAAGGTCGGAGTTCGAGTCCCGGTAGGGTCAAGAATTTTCTCTTCTTCACGTTGTACAGACCGACTCTGGGGTCCACCTAACCTCTTATCCAATGGGTACCGGGGCTTTTTCGTCGGGGGTAAAGCGATAGGGGAGTGAAGCTGAGTATTCACCTGCAACTAGTGCCGAGGTCAAGAAAATATGGATCCTATATATCTGCTCCCCCATACGCCTTCATGGCGTAGTGCTTAATTAGTTAAGCATAGGGAGAACTTTACCTTTTCTTTAGAGTGTATCATGGGCCAATCACAGAGGCCACGCGGTCTAAGGCACGAAATGCCTTCTCTCCGCTCAAGCACTGAGATCATGGGTTCGAATCTGATTCCAAACATTGAATGTATGTGTTTCTTCTATTTGTGTTGTCATGCGTAGGTAACGGCCTTGCCACGGGCTGATACCCCATCCAAGGAGTACTACCAAACATTCATAATTTCGCTATTAATTCAAAAAAGGAAGATGCAGAAGTCTCCCCCCCGTAACACAATTCTGCTAATGTGAACACAATAACACAAACCGTCTGTCTGTCTGTCTGTCTATCTATCTATGGGTCTACAGTCCTCTTTTTCGTTGGTCCTTGGCTGCTCTTTCAGGTTCTTAACCATATACAAAATCGGCAGGACTGCTTGGAAGAGGGATCAGCCCGTATCAACCGTTACCTACACACAGAACAACACAAACACAGAATAAACGCAAAAAACATTCATTACTTCAGTGGGATTCGAACCCACGATCCCAGCTTTCGAGCGAACGAACACAGTTCATGCCTTAGACCGTGACTGTGACTTAGACTGTGATGGGCGATTTAATTTGCTTCATGAAAACTCGTTCAGACGATGTGAGAAAGTTCGGTGAAGGTTACCTATGTTCGACAGGGGTGGTCAACTGCTGCGGTCACGACTGTATAGACATGAGGCGTTACGTGGATGTCAAGTCACTTGTTTTAAAACGGTTGCCTTGAGGGGAGGGAAAATGGTAGTATGAAATCACGCTTGTACATGTAACACACAAAGTTAGATTAATAGGGCTGTCAATCACATGTAATTTTAAAAGGCTTCTTCGAAGAGCGGGTTATAAA